AAGCAGGGTGTGTGTGAGGGGTGTGGAGCTGTGGGAGTGTGAGAGGGGGGTGGGGAAGTGGGTGAGGGGGATGAGGTGTGTGTGTGTGGTGTGTGTGGGGTGGGGTGTGGGGTGTTTGTGAAGCAGGTTGTGGAGGAGTGGTTGTGCATGAGGTGGGTGGGGGTTGTGAGTGTGGGTGGGGTGCTGGGGGAGTGAGGATAACGGGAGATTGAGACAGAGGTTGGGGGTGAGGAGGGTGTGAGATTGAGGAGGGAGTGGGAGTATAATGGGGCTGATAGGGAGTGGGGGCTGATGGGGTGAGGGGGACCAGGGCTAAGGGGGGAGCAGAGTGACGGGAATTGAGGGGAGTGGGGGTGAGGGGTGGATGGGGGGTGAGGCAGAGTGGGGCTGAGGAGGGATCGGAGTGGGGGGGATGTGGGACTGAGAAAGTGGGTGGGTGAGGTGGAGGTATGGCCCTACCCCAGGCATGATGATCCTTTCAATGTCCTCAAAGATGCTGCTCCAACTCTCGCCATCTTGTGGGGCTGTGTCTGGGAGGAGGGCTCTCATGTAGCCGGGTTTAACATCAGGGTAAACACGGCGTTCTCTCAGCGTGCTGAGGTATTTGGCAATATAATCCACCAGCTCCTTCCCTGGGAGACACACACAACAGTTCATATTAAAATACATCAGACACTTGACAGCAAGAGACAAAGAAAACCACACAGTCACATTGGGCAGCTGCAGAGAAGAAATCTAGCAGCAGGCAGACTTTTTTTAAACTGGATGGAGCTGTAGGAAGGCAGCAGGGTTCATTCCCTCACTGAACTGAACGAGCCAGAAAGCAACTTTCCCTTCAGCTTCATGGAATAGTCCTGAGAACGCAGCTGTCTTTATGATAGCAGAACTGATCTTCCTGTTCGAGCACTGACTGTATCTGGGCACAAGGCAGCTCCAGATATGGACAGGTCAAGGGGCGGGATGAGGTTAATAGGTAGGAGATGGGGGTGTGGCTTGGGGTGGGAGAAGGGGATAGGTGGGAAGAAGAACAGGTTAGGGAGGCAGGGATGAGCTGGACTGGTTTTGGGATGCGGTAGGGGGAGGGGAGATTTTGAAGCTTGTGAACACCTATGCTCGGTTCGCAATAAACAACTGCACCTCCCAGTCGCGAACCATTTCAACTCCCCCTCCCATTCCTCAGACGACATGTCCATCCTGGGCCTCCTGCAGTGCCACAACGATGCCACCCGAAGGTTGCAGGAACAGCAACTCATATTCCGCTTGGGAACCCTGCAGCCCAATGGTATCAATGTGGATTTCACAAGCTTCAAAATCTCCCCTCCCCCTACCGCATCCCAAAACCAGCCCAGCTCATCCCCGCCTCCCTAACCTGTTCTTCCTCCCACCTATCCCCTCCTCCCACCTCAAGCCGCACCCCCATCTCCTACCTACT